AAAAAAAAAAAAAAAAAAAAAAAGCAATGACTGATCAATCTTGCTTGGATGTAGGTAAAGGCGCAGTTCCCACTTCCTTTACTATTCGCCTGGGTAGGGACTCTATTGGATCCAGTGATTGTTTCTCCTTAATAAAGGATGTGGTCAGTCTCGAGGCAGCAGACCTCGTTTCCACAGTAGGCAGCATAAAGTCTGTTGATGGCAGACGATTTGGGGGCAGCAACCGCTTTGCTGTGCATGACCTGCCGAAGGCTGAGGAGGAGGCTTATGCAGATGACCCCACTCTTGGTGACGACCAAGAACAGCACGCTGGTACAACTTGCTCTTCATCAACCCATGAGTCTGACGCTAACCACGAAGAGGAAAAAATTTCTACCTTCAAAAAGACTGCCAATGGGAAGGGACCAAACAGGAATTCAGACCGGGAGATGCCTCAATGAAACCGTCGGTTGATCTTCGGATAACTGAGAATGATTGGAAGGCTAGGCTCAAAAAAAGGGTTTGCCTTCATTGCCAAAGCTTGAATCACAAAGTGCAAGAATGGTATAGGCTGCAGGTAAACCAGAATCGGGGGTAGAGTGGACATCAACATACTTTACAACAAGGGAGACTGAACCGGACACAGTTCAATAGTCCTCTCTTGAAACCCTATCATCCGCTGAGTCCGAGGCTGACGCATGCAATGTCCTTTATGTCGAGCCTTGGGAGGAGTCCGAGATGGTCAGCTTCCACTATCACTTAGAGCATTGGGCCGAGATGAAACAACGGCGTGCTAAAGGGATAAAGGAGTCGATCTTCTTCAAGCTCCTTATCAACCACCTCTACCTCCGTGTCTTGGTTGATTGTGGTGCAACTACTAATTTCATGTCTCCACACGGGGTACGCAAGGTGGGCCTGGGAATGAAGCAAGTGGAGTTGCAGACCCCATGTCGGACCAAGTAGGGAACAAAGAAGTTGTCTCCTCTACGCGTGCAATTAAAGGTGTGGGCACTACCTTTGACAAGGATAAAACTGTCACACATGCACTCAACTTCTATGTACTTGACAAGTGTCCCTTCGACGCAGTCATTGGATTGGGCTAGTTACGATCCCAATGCAAGTGGACCGAGTGGAATGATGCTCTCTTTGTGGTGCATGATGCTTCAGGGAATCAACGCGCATTCCTACTAGACAAGAAGAGTGAACCCTAAGTGACTTTTCTCAATACCATGCGATTTTGTAAGAAGTGGTGCAAGCACGCAGAGGATGAGCAATTATATGTTGCTTTTGTTCATCCTACCCATGTGCCTTCTACTTTCACGGCTACTACTAATTCTACTTCTGATACTTCTACTTCTGCATCTACCCCCACTTCTAGTCCAGTGACCCTACTTCAAATTCAATTTCCTTGGCCTCTAATTTGCAGCATGGGTTACATGACCCTTATTCTGATGCTCCACCCCCAGAAATACCAGCAAACATCCAGAGCCTACTCAACCAACTTCCGAAAGTCTTGGCTAAACCGCGTGCAGTCCCCATGCGTTCAGTCAACCACACGATCGAGTTGATCGAATGCAGTGTTCCTCCAAAAGGTTGCGTGTACCGTATGGGATCCGACGAATTGGAGGAACTTCAAAGACAAATCAATGAGATGATTGAAAAAAGGTGGATAAAGCCTATTGAATCTGAATTTGGTGCACCCGTGTTGTTTGTCCCAAAGAAAGGAGGCAAACTTCGTATGTGCATTGATTACGGTGGTCTAAACTGCATCACAAGAAAAAATGCTTATTCATTGCCACACATAGATGATTTGCTGATGTTGCAGGTGGGTGCACAAGATCGATCTCAAGTCTGGCTACCACCAGATTGAAGTCGATCCTACAGACCAGCACAAGACTGCATTCAAGACTCGCGATGGGCTTTACAAATTCACGGTAATGCCCTTCGATCTCACGAATGCACCGGCCACCTTTCAAAGTCTCATGGACAAGGTCCCCCATGAACAAATTGGTCGATTTGTGGTTGTCTATCTTGATGACATTCTGATTTTCAGCAAGTCGATGGAGGAACACATGAAGCACCTTAAGGAAGTGTTCAACATCCTCAAGAAAACGCAGTTCCATCTCAACATAGAGAAATCTGAGTTTGGGAGGGACAACATCATCTACCTTCGACACTGGTTGTCTACTGCAGGCCGTGAGCCTGAGGCAACCAAGGTTGAGGTCATACGCAAGTGGCCTCAACCAGCGAACGTCTGTGAACTGCGTTCCTTTCTTGGTCTTGCATCACACTATCGGAAGTTTGTGCCCTTATTTTTTATCATTGCTTGCCCATTGTCTAAACTAACTAGCAATAATGTATCTTATGCGTGGAGCGATGCATGTGAGACTGCCTTTCAAGCCTTAAACCACCACTACCTCCGAGCCTGTTTTTGCCAATCCTGAATTTCACTGCACATCGAGTTTTGCCGAGCCTGAGTCCCATTGTATATTCTTTTCTGGTACTCGTCGGAAACGGAAAAAAGAAAAAAAAAACAACCAAAGAAAAGGTAAAAAACAATGACGTTAGGGACGTGAAAGTAGCTGTATACAAAACATTGGGTACACGTGAGGGTATGCGCTGCCAAAGGGCATTAGTACCCTCAACAAAACATGCCAATAGGGAAAAAAGAAAAAAGGAAAAAAAGCAACAACTCTTTGGATGTGAAAGCAATTGGATACAGACCATTGGGCATAAATGAGAATACCAACGGGCGTTACAATCCTCGACAAAACACGGTTGTACGGGGGAAAAAAAAACAAAGACAGCAACAACTCTTTGGACGTAAAAGCAACTGGATACAGAATCTTGAGTACATGTGAGAGTGCCCCGTTGGTTCCAAGTGTCAGYTGTCCATGGAAAGCGCCCTGCCTCGTTAGCAGGGCACTAAAACTRAATTAAAAGGGGGAAAAAAAAACACCAAAAACAAAAAAGGAAACTAACGATGATTYTGGGCAGATGCATTCCTGGCGGCACTACTGTGAGCACACCTCCTTCATGGCTTTCCCTGRCGTTCTTCCTTTCAACTCTGCAGTTTATTTTTTTTAATCTTTTTTTCTCCAATCGGGCCCACAAGGCCCAAATGTTTTCTTTTTGCCAACCCTCGCCCAGACCCCCGAACTTTGCGGTTGAGGTCATTTTCCCAAATGGGACTACACTTTGGAAAGGTAGTGGTGGTTTAAAAGAGGCTTTGGTGAAATATCCTGTACTCCGCATTGCAGATTTTAAACTCACCTTTGAAGTCGCTACGGATGCAAGCCAATATGGAATTGGCGCAGTGCTGCAACAAGATGATGATGATGGCTTTGCGTCCGCTCGAATACTACAGCAGATGCATGCCCAACGAAAAGGTAGCTACCTCCACCTACATGCGCGAGCTTTACGCCTTGCGCGAGGCTCTAAATCGTTGGAGGCACTATCTTTTGGGACGCCATTTCAAAGTTTTTTCATATCACGAGACTTTGAAATGGATTAAGGAGCAAACTACCTTATCCACTACATTGACTTGCTGGTTGCATGAGATCAACATTTTCTATTTTTAACTGAAATACAAGAAGGGCTGTTATAATCAAGTTGCTTATGCGTTGTCTCGCTACCCAGAGTATATGACTTGCCTTGTGAACTCCTACGACCTCCGGACCAAACTAAAGGAGGAACTCGTGGAACATCCGGATCTCAGTTCAATCCTTGAGCAGCTACGGGCTGACCCCCGCAGTCAGCCTGATCTTCATGAATGTGAAGGTCTGGTCTTTCGACGCTACGGAAAGAATGACTGTCAGCGCTTGGGGCAGGAGGAGCGCCCAGCTCTCCACCATAGCTATGGTGGAAGAGCGAGGGTAGGAGGAGGAGGAACAAGGGGGACTAGGAGAAGGGATTGCCAGGGGTACTTACCTGGCTATGGTGGACGCATCTTCATCACCTTGGTAGACGCTGCACCTGGAAAGCCCCAATGAGGGTAGAGCTACACCAAGAGGCTTCAAGGATGAGTCAGGCATGACAGCCTGAGTACAAGCAGCCATTGTCTTTTCCACAGGAGGGCAAGGCCCTAGTAGTCCGCCATAGCCTCGGCCTTCATGAAGAGGAAGAAGAAGATGGCCATGGCTAGGGTGGACCTCATGTGATTGCATTCACACTCCGATTATTCACACTTGTCTTGCATGCAAACAGCGATACAGCAACTGGCGACATGCGCCCTGACAGTACTTAAGATATCGTAACCAGATATGAGTTCTCTTCAACTGGCTATGGCGACTGGGCGCCCACACAACTCACTGTTCGCACTCTGGATCACCCTGGATGTCCCACACGCAACACTCAGTATCATACGCAACACACACACACGCTATGCTACAGCTATGGCARYRCTAGHTGCCACTACCTATCGCTACACTACACTTCTCTGCCCACTTCGTCTTCGGGAACACTGCAGACCTCCTCGCACAAGCTGCTAAGGCAGCGCTTCCGCATGGCATCCGGAGGAATGAATGAATGGCTGGACGCAGCCTCTTGATGTATACTTTTGCGCTGCGTTGGTCTGCCCTGTATCCCTGGCCCATGGTGCACACAGTCCCCCCGTGGTACTTGCTGGACCGGACTGGTACTTTCTAGACTCTCCCATGACTGCATGGCGACTACCCTACGACGCAATGCAATTGCACTGGGGTCCTACTATTTGCCCTTGCCACTTGTCCTCGTCTCCAGCATGGGCTTGCTTTAGTCACACCACTTGCCCACTTGCCTGCACCACTTGACCACTTGCCAACCTTCTAGAAGGACTGCAGCTAGCCTTCTAATCTACAAGTCTACGGATCGAATCCTGGCTACCTATAGACCTACAACAGACCTACCTACCACTGGCGGTTCTACAGGTCGCAGGTTCAACTCTTCAAGTTGACGCAGGTATTGTACACAGGTAAGTTGGGGAACT